CAGCAAGGGAAGGGCACCAGAGTGGCCGTGAGTGGCTCGGCGGAGGAGCTGCTGTCAGGCGCACGATCCTCTCTGCTCTTGTACGTCTTCACTAAGAAGAGACAGACGGTGAACGGCTGTGGGGTGTGAGCAGAGAGGTGGACGGAAGAAGCGAAGTGAGTGGACTGGCAGTTTCCAGCCTAGGAAACTAGGAGGGTGCCAGGCTGTGAGGACTGGCGGTTCCTCAGGGCCGTGGGGACAATAGAGAGCAGAGGATGCTCCTCTCCGGGGATCCCAGCACTCGACGGGGACAGCGTTAGGGTCTTAGGGTCTGTTTTTCTCGTGTGAACGTGTCTTGGGAGCTCTAATGGGGGCTCATAGGAAGGCATTAGCAGGTCCATGTCCCTCCAGCCCCTATGCAAAAGCTGAGCTGGTTTCTGTCCTTGCAGAACGTCACTGCCAACCACCGGGCCAACGACGTGATTGCCGCCGAAGACGGCCCCCAGGTCCTGGTGGGACGGTTCATGTACGGGCCCCTGGACATGGTGGCTCTGACGGGAGAGAAGGTAAGAGGCTGGGCATCCCCTCCTGGACTGCCCACACGTGCACCAGGTGCCTCGTGGTACCACATGGCACGTGGGCTGAGGGCTTTGGGAGGCTGAGCTGGGAGACACCCTGCCTGGGGAGGTCGGGGGATGGGGGGAAAGCCAGGAAGCAGGGGTGAACTTGGTGCATCTGAGGGGCCAGTGGTGGCTGCAGTGGGGAGAGACGGTGGTAGAACCAGGAAACATCCGCAGGACCCCAAGCCCCGGAGTCCTGTTTTAGTAGAGAGCTCCCTGGCCGAGCCCCCCAGCCAAGCCTGCAGCCCCCCAGTCTCAGTGCGTTCCCTGGCCCCCTCGGTGCCTGCAGGTGGACATCCTGGTGATGGCGGAGCCGTCCTCCGGCCGCTGGGTGCACCTGGACACGGAGATCACCAACAGCAGCGGCCGGATCACCTACAGCGTGCCGAGGCCCCGGCGCCTGGGGGTGGGCGTGTACCCCGTGAAGATGGTGGTCAGGTGAGACCCAGGACCACTGCCCTGGCACTTCCGGCCGAGCCTCTCCGTGTGATGGGGCCCTCGGCTGCTCTGTTTTGGGCCTCATCCCCACCTGAGGGGAGAGAGAAAATGGTCGAGGTCATCCTCAGATTCTCTGGCCCCATTCTGAGCTCTGACCCAGTGGCATGCTGACCTCTGGCCCCCGGCTTAACCCCTGACCCGAGCACATGGCTGACCACCAGTGGTGCTTTTCAGGGGCGACCAGACCTGTGCGATGAGCTACCTCACGGTGCTGCCCCGTGGCATGGAGTGCGTGGTATTCAGCATCGACGGGTCCTTTGCCGCCAGCGTGTCCATCATGGGAAGTGACCCCAAGGTCCGGCCGGGGGCAGTGGACGTTGTCCGGTGAGTGCTACTTCCCTGCAAGGGACAGGTTCTCCGGGGGCAGGAGCCAGCGGACCTGGGGGAGAGAGAGAAGCTTTTTCTGGTTTCCTCCAGGAATCCCGCTGGCCTCGGGGCCAGAAGCTGAAGCCTTAGCTTCACCTCCGGTGTTAATTTACCTGCGTCCCTCAGATACTTCCTGCCGTGTTCTAGACCAGATTCCCCACCCGCCCTGCCCTCCTTCCTCCGCTTGCTCTAACTCAGTGGTTCTCAACCTTGGCTGCACATTAGAATCACCTGGGAATCTTTTTAAAATCCTGATTTCTGGGCCTCATCCTCGGGAAATTCTGTTTCTTTGTTACTAATGTGGCCCCACCCCATAACAAAGAAACAGAATTTCCAGAGGATGAGGCCCAGAAATCAGGATTTAAAAAAAACTCCCAGGTGATTCTAATGTGCAGCCAAGGTTGAGAACCACTAACTCTATCTGAGCATTCTCTGCAGGGAATCGGGCCTGGTCTCTCACATTCTGACCCGAATCAGGATAAATCCAAGTGTTCTGATCATCTCCTGCTGTGTAACAAATGGCTCCAAACTTAGCTGCTTAAAATAATAATTATTATTCTGTCTCATGGTTCTTCGGACTGTCGGGTTCTTTTGCAAGGTTCTTGTGTGGGGTGTCTCTAGCAATTTCAGTCAGAAGGTGGTCTGGGCCGAGGGTGTCTGAAGGCTCCCCTGGGCCGGATGTGCAAGAGGGCTGGCTCCTGACTGCATCTGCTGCTCCTTGTCTGCGGGCTCTGTTTCTCCCTGTGGCTGCTGCCCTGGGAGGCCTCAGGCTATTCAGACATTGTACAGGGTGGCTGGCTCCCCCTGGGTCCCAGATCCAGGTGGAAGCTGCAAGCCTTCTTACGGCCCAGCCTTGGGAGGCACAGAGTCCTTCCCATTGCATCCTGTTGGTTATCAGCGAGTCGCAGGATCAGCCCAGATTCAAGGGGATGGGACCACATACATGTGAATGCTGGCAACCATGGCATTACCCAAAGGGCTAGTTGAGAGATGGGATCTATTCCAGCTGGTTGGAGAAAGCAGAGTAGGCTTCCTGGGAGAGGTGGCATTTGAGATAGCCCCTAAAGGATGGAAGTATATATATTTTTTCAATCCATGCCATTGTACAAATATTACCAATTGAAAAAAGGCAAAAAAAAGAAAGAAAGGAAGAAAGGAAGAAAGGAAGAAAGGAAGAAAGAAAGAAAGAAAGAAAGAAAGAAAGAAAGAAAGAAAAATCAATGCCCACATGGAGCTCTCCCAGGAGGGACAAGAGCTATCCTTTATTGAGGGCTTCCCAGGCATTGTTCGAAGTGGTTTACGTGCGTTACCGCATTCAAGTCTTTTGACCTCGTTATGTGTCATGTGCTATTAGACTTATCTGACAGACAGGAAACCGAAGCACAGAGCGGTAAAGGAATCTCCCCAGATTCTTAGTACTCGAAAGGCTGGGATTTGAACACCCAGGGCCAGCTTGTGGCCCATACTTGCTCCAGAGTGTCTGCTGTTAGTAACTACACTCTGTGGCCACTCTGTCCTAGGACATGTTCTGGTCTGAAGCATTAAATAGTCTAATCCGGTCAAAAAATGGATTTCTGGACAAATCAGCTTATCAGTGACCTGGACGTAGTTCCTTAGGTAGCTGACCTTTTTCATTAGTACTTGCTTTTGATGGGTTGCTATCTCTGCTTTCTTAAGTCATATTTTTATGGCTTTAGGCCAGTGGCCTGCCAACGCCCACCAAGAGCAAAAGATTTCAATTTCCCAAG